TCCAGCTCTTGGGCTTAGGCAATTCTCTTGCCTCAGCCTCCTGAGTAGCTGGGACTACAGGCGCCCGCCACAACACCTGGCTTTTGTTGTTGTTGTTGTTGCAGTTTGGCCATGGTTGGGTTCGAACCTACTACCTTTGGTATATTGGGCCAGTGCCCTATTCACTGAGCCACAGGTGCTGCCCCAAGCTAAGATTTTTTTTAATGTAATAAATGTAGCTACTGAAAACTGGCAGCCTAGAAATGAATTATGCAAGCATTTTTCAGCAAGTCATGTTTTCACTCATTATGTTCTTTAAGTAAGTAGATTGCTCAAGCTCAGGAATATGAGACCAGCCGGAACAAGAGTAGGATCCCATCTCTAAAAAATTTCCGGCAGTGTGGTAGGCACCTGTAGTCCCAGCTACTTGGGAGGCTGAGGCAATAGAATCACTTGAGCCCAGGAGTCTGAGGTTGGGGGCTGTGAGCTCAGATGCCACGGCACTCTACCCAAGGCGACAGAGGGAGACTGTGTGTCAAAAAAAAAAGGATGTAGAGGAAAACAACCATTGGTGGGCTATCCTGATGTATATGTTTACATTCCAACATACTAACATTGAACTTACTTTAGTAGACAACTGTTTTGGCACACGGATTTATTTTCAGTTTAGATAAGAGAATGGGCCGTAAGTCATGATATACACATATTATCAGAAGGAACATAAAAGTAGGAACCTTGAATTATTAGCGCATTCTAATTTAACAACTCTTTTAAACTATAGATCAGAAGAGTTTGAAAGGTTAAATACTCTTTCTAAGAAAATGAATGCTCCTCCAGAAAAAGCAATGACACAAATACGTTTTCACCGACTACTAGCAAAGATAAAACCCCAAAAGATGAAGGTAAAGTAGACGTTGCCCTCAGTGGGACGGGGGGTCTGACTGAGCAGCTAAATAACTGATTTTCTCTTCTGATCTGGTCTCTCAGGAAATTGAGTACAAGAATTTGAGATTTCCAGTAGATTTATCAAATCCATTTGCTGTGGCAACTGTTTTAAACCAAGAAGCAGGAAAATTGAAGATTAAAGAATTAAAAGAAGGTAACTAGCTGATCCACATAAAACAGCCCCTGGCCAGCATATGAAAGAGTCACATTTATTACTTGTGAACAACAAAACTCAGTTAGATGGCTATTATGCTTTGCCATTAGCAATGTGTTTTTCTCTCTGCAAATGATTCTGATTTGATTACCGGTATAATTGTTGTTTGCTCCTGCCTTCAGTTTTGGACCAAGGCACAGACATTTCAAAAACAAGACAGATGAAGGAAGCACTCTTTGAACATAAAGTCAGACAGGATGTTTATGAAGAGCTCGAAAATCATCTTAAGTGGTAAATAATGAGCAAATATTTATATCAGGTGACAGTACTGCTGTTTTTAGGTGATGCTCTTTTATACATGAAACGCGTGGAATGTAATAACTTTTTATGCCTTTGCAGACTGTGATTATTCGTCCTTCACCCGCCCTTCTAGTTCAGAATGTAGTTCCTCCTAGGAATACATTTATGTGGCCAAACCCTGCTCTTTCCTACGCATGACCAGACAGTGGCAGAACTGGGCCCTTGTTCCCTGCTGGCCACTGCTGCCGGCATCCCCTCACTTGAGGAAAATTTGAGTGGCTCAGACACACTAACCCTCACCCCATCACCCCTCACCCCACCATGGGTCCCTGAGCTCTGGGCTGTGTGCCCCAGAGGCTTTCTGGGGAGTCCACTATGGTTGCAGGGAGCTTGGGGGGGAACAAATTCAGATGTGAGAATTCTTGTGCTTCTGTGACCAAAATGTTGTCTGTGGTTTTGATTTACATTTCCTTAAATTGGTTTTACCAGATGAGACCAGCTATATCCTTGTTGTGTACAGATTCAGTTGAAGTAAGCTTTAGAAACTCTCAAATTGAACTAAAAAAGAGAGAGAGTGTGTGTCCTGGAAAGTGTGATTGAGAGAATGCCTGCTCCACACCCTACCCCACACTTCCCAGCACAGGAGAATGTGCCCTCACCATGAAGGCCCTCAGAGAAGGGGCCCTCACCCTGCTCCCCTGTCTCCAGGAAGGAACGGCCTTTGTTTCTGACAGAAATCCCTCTCCCTCAGCTTAAGTCTGTTTCATAATCCCACCTCAGTTAGGAAGGAATTAAAGATTTAATTTTGTTTTTTAATTTTTTTTTGGAGGCAGAGTCTCACTTTGTCACCCTCGGTAGAAGGCCATGGCCTTACAGCTCACAGCAACCTCAAACTCTTAGCTTAAGCTTTTCTCCTGCCTCAGCCTCCCAAGTAGCTGAGACTACAGATGCCCGTAACAACACCCAACTGGTCTTGAACTCCTGAGCTCAGGCAATCCACCCACCTCAGCCTCCCCAGAGTGCTGGGATCACAGTGTGAGCCACGTGCCTGGCCTTTGAAGATTTTATTTTTTAAAATACCTTTTCCCTATTATGAAAAGCAGATATGTGGTCATTGTAGAGAACCTGAAAACGTATTTTTTTAAAGTATGGAGAAGGAGAAAGAATCACCGTGATGTCAACTCTCAGCAATAACCACTGTTAGTTAATACAGTATTTTTCTTTCTTTCTGAACCTTAAAAACATGTTAAGTGGAAGAAGACAATCACAAGACCATATAATATGTGATTCCATTTATATGAATTGTCCACAATGGGCAAATCTGTAGACATAGATAACAGACTTGATATCACATCCTGAATTTCATTCTGAATATTATATTGTTCACTTAATATTTTTTCTTAACTTTTTATGTTGAAAGATTTTAAACATGCTGGTAACATGCACATATACTTGACCTAGGTGCACTAATTGCTCACATCATGCACACTTGCCATCACTCTGCAGCACACTCACATTCCTAAGCCATTTGAAAGTAAATTGCAGACATCAGTAAGCGTCATCCCCAAATACTTTAGCATATAGCTCCTAAAACCAAGGACATTCTCCATTACCATAATCACTTCCAAGAAATTTAGCATTGACACAATTGTCCCAATCATGTCCTTTTTACCTGAGCTTTTGGGTTCTTGTTGTTTTTGGAAAGATGACTGTAGGGTCCAGTCAAATATCATACAATTTATATTTAGTCCTCTTGTCTCTTTAGTCTCCTTTAATCTAAGACAGTTCTCCAGATGCTCCCAACTGCCACTTTTAAAATCATAGCTACTGTTTATTTTGGAGGTGTGCCAGGTTTCATGAGGGGTACATTACAAATACCAGAATATCGTCATCACTCCATAAGGAAGCCCCACACCCATTAACAGTCTGTCCCCATTCCCCACTCCCTGGACCCCCTAACAACCTCTAATCTTCCTGTCTCAGTGGATTTGCCTATTGTGGACATTTCGTATAAATGGAATCACATCTTATGTGCTCTTCTGTGTCTGTCTTCTTCCATTTACATGTTTTCAAGATTCAACCACATCATAGCATATATCACTCCTTCATTCCTTTTCACGGATGAGTGATAGTCCATGGTGTGGATATTAACATCTTGTTTATTCATTCATCAGTTAATGGACATTGTAGTGGTTTCCACTTTTTTTAATGCTGCTATGAACATTTATATACAAGTTTTTATGTGACCCTATCTTTTCTCTTGAGCACATCTCTAGGAGTAGAATTGCTGGGTCATGTTTAACTTTTTGAGGAGCCATCAAACTGTTGTACGTGGTGGCTGCACCATTTCACATCCTGCTAGCAACAGATGAGGGTTACGGTGTCTCCGTTTCCTTGGTTATACCTTTGTTATGACGGTCCCAGTGGGTATAGAGCCGTATGTTGTGGTTTTGATTGACATTTCCTTAATGACTAATGGTGTTGAGCATCCAGATGTTTTTTTGTTTTGTTTTGTTTTGTTTTTGTAGAGACAGAGTCTTACTTTATTACCCTCGGTAAAATGCTGTGGCCTCGCACAGCTCACAGCAACCTCCAGTTCTTGGGCTTAGTGATTCTCTTGCCTCAGCCTCTGAGTAGCTGGGACTACAGGCGCCCGCCACGATGCCTGGCTATTTTTTTGTTGCAGTTTGGCCAGGGCTGGGTTTGAACCCACCACCCTCGGTATATGGGGCCAGCACCCTACTCACTGAGCTATAGGCGCTGCCCCATCCAGATGTTTTTATTCATAAATATTTTAGCATGTGTTGCTAGAAGCAAAGCTTCATTGTGTGGAACACTTGATTGATCTCAGTTATGTTGCTGAAATCTCAATAACCTCTCTCCCCCATGGTGTCCCCTCCAGTATCTCAGCACCCATTTCACTTATGAAGTATAGTGAAGACACTTCATCCTAAAGTCAACTCTGGTATCCTGTTATTCTGATGGGTTCTGAAGCTGGTTTATTTCCTCCCCAGGCAGGTGCACCTTGGTAAAGATCCTATATCTTATAAATATAGAAAAGAACTTGCTGAGGAGCGGAACAGAGCAGGCACCAAATACAAGGTCAGAATCACTGCTAATTTGATATCATTTGTTTCACTAAATATTTTCAATTCTTACTATATGCAAGGTGCCAGGTGAAAGAAAACTGATAGTTTAACTGATAGTTAGAAGTGGAGGAGGCAGGTAGCAAGAAATTTGTTAACCACAAATCAAGCCTGGTTATAAATGTCAAAAGAGACCTTTACTAAATATTGTGGGGATTTGGAAGTCAGAGAGGAGAGAGAACACATTTAATTGGGAAGCTTCCTGGAAGAGAGGCATAATTTTGAAAAGTTGTTCAAAGGACAGTCATTCAGATAGAAAGAATGGCTCAAATTTGAGCTGAAATTCTTAGGTGAGGTCTATCTCATGATCTGCAGAACATTAAGACAAAAGAAACCCAAAAATGGTGGGTTTCAGAAGCCACACCAGAGACAGATACAAATGACAGTCCCAAGTCAGAGATGCTCAAAGGGTCTAGCAGAGATAGGGAAATTGGGCAGAGAGAGGGAAACTGGACCGAGAGGAGTAGGGCTGCACTTAGAATGCACCTATACACTCAGGGACATGACCTGTGGGACTGTGCAATACCCATGACATCACTGTGGCTTAGGGGACAGCTGTTACCTGCAGGACAGCTACAGAGAACACTGGTGACATAGCTATGGTGGCTAAGCACAGGACTCACCTGGGACTCGTCTGAGGGCTTTGGATTTATTGGTAGGACTTGCAGAATCCTCCATCACATACTGTATTTGTTTGCTCAGGCTGCCACAATGAAGTACCACAAACTGCATGGCTTAAAGCAGTGGTTCTCAACCTGTGGGTCACGACCCCTTTGTAACAATGAAAATACGTCGGGCATTAGGAAGGTTGAGAACCACTGGCTTAAAGCAACAGGAATTTATTTTCTCCCAGTTCTGGAGGCTGAGAGTCTAAGCTTAAGTTCTTAGCAAGGCTGACTCCTTCTGAGAACCGTGAGAAGGGTTCTGTCTCAGGCCTGTCTCCTTGGCTTATCGATGGACACCTTCCCCCTGCATCTTCTCATGCCTCTTTATGTATCTGTGTCCTGATCCTCTCTCTTTTTTTTTTTTTTTTTTTTGAGACAGAGCCTCAAGCTGTCCCCCTGGGTAGAGTGCCGTGGCATTACAGCTCACAGCAACCTCCAACTCCTGGGCTCAAGCGAGTCTCCTGCCTCCGCCTCCCAAGTAGCTGGGACCACAGGCGCCCGCCACAACGCCCGGCTATTTTTTGGTTGCAGCCGTCATTGTTGTTTGGCGGGTCCAGGCTGGGGATTCGAACCCGCCACCTTAGGTGTACGTGGCTGGCGCCTTAGCCGGTTGAGCTATAGGCGCCGAGCCCTGATCCTCTCTCTTTAACAGGACACAGTCATATTGGAATCAAACCTACTGTAATGACCTCATTTTAACTTCCTCATCTCTTTAAAGACCCCGTTTCCAAACACAGTCACATGCTGAGGTCCTGGGAGTTAGGCGTCAACATATGAAGTTTGAGGGGACACAGATATTTAAGCTTGGGAGTGTGAGATTCAGGTATACTAACTTGGCAGCACTGCTAGGAATATGTGTTTCCTATAGAATACATTTCTCTTTCTAGATGTGGAGTCCAAACCAAATAGTTAAGTAAATTTGTCTTTTCTTAATAATAAGAACAAAAGAGTGTGAAATCATTACAGTGGTAAATCTTTGTGTTTAGAAAAGGCACGTGTTACTATGCATATTGGCATTGACATTTGGCTTGGTGTGTCGGATTTTCTTCATGCTGTTTTAAAAGCAAACTATGAAGTATTTTCTGTCAACTCTACAATGGAATGCTATTTTCTACCTTTTTAAAAGATGAAGTTAACAAGCATGTCATGATCAGTCACCGTGAGCGTTAAGGCTGTGGTCGCCAGCATTTGTAGGAAGGGCACAGTCATATCCTTATCCACGGGACAGGGAGAATGAGCGGGTACTCCTGAGGCCCTGGTATGTTGGAGACCCTGTAGTGTGGCAGGAATCATATTCTTTGTGTCCTGGGGTTTCATCCAGTGACCCAGTGGCAAGGAACACCTGAAAGCCAAGGCATGTAGCAGAAAGCCAAGAAAAAGAGCAATGAGGGGAAGGAGGGAGTTGGCATCGTAGCTGGATGGTACAAACTCTCAAAAACTTAGGGAGATGATAGATAATATTTAATAATATTAAATTCAGAAGTATTTGTCAGAGTCTTAATAATGATATTATACTATCTTTATTCTCACTAATGCTCTATTTGCCAATCTCTTCTTTAAATTCCCTGTTCTATTTTACTCTTGGTGGTGTTGGTGGGGGATCTGGGTTCTCCCCATGAAATCTGTACTTTGAACTTAAGGTATAATCTCAAACTCAGCTTCCTGATACATGTAAGTCAGAGGTAGACAGCTCACCACCCTGGGGACAATAACACACCTCTCTTATTTCTCCATAGGGTGTTAATGTCATGATCAGGATAGGTTTCTTCCAACGAGGCCTTTAAAAATGATTTTGAACGGTGTGCTTAAGAGCCAAGCTCATTTTCACAGACAGTAGAGCCTGCAGACAGGCAAGCACTAGCACAGCCTGCAGAGGGGCAGCGCTCTGTTCATGGGGGCAGGCTGCATAGACATGGATCTACACGAAGCCAGCCCACCCAGGAATCTCTGGTGGCTCCTGGGAATAGGAAAGAGAGCCCAGAAGCCATTAGGCAGGAAGGAAGGGGTTGGAGAATGAGTCGGGATCCCTCCCTTCAGGGAAGGGGCAGGTTTCTTTCCAGCCCAGAAAGACCTGACCATTCCTGCACCCAAGAAAGGGGGAGAATCACCACGAGCCTTCCTTAAAACCTGACACGTGGCTAATGAACTCTGAGGAGATTAAAACTTCAGTGGGACATTAAATTTCTTTTTAGTGAAATCTATATATATACTGCCATAATTGCAGTTTCCTAAAATCCTTTCTGTGAGCTTTACGTGTCTTAGAAATAATTTCCAGAGCTATCCTTTACTTAGGAATAGAAGGTTTGGAGCCTGCACTTCTGTCCAAGTTCCCTGTGTCTGAACTGTAAGTGAATTTAACAATCCTTTTAACTCCCCTGCTCTCTAGCACTCCCAGCAGGAGCTCCCTGGGTAGATCTAGCCAACCCACTAAGCAGGCTTCTACCGGTCTTAAAAAGAAATAGTTTTTTTTTTTGCATTTGTGTTCAATTGTAATTATTTTGATGATTAAAAATCCAGTTAAATAGAGGAGACCCTACTTTGGATGAGGAATTTCAGCGACTCAAGACAGAAATTAACAACAAACGGGTCATTCGGGATCTAGCAAAGGTGAGTAAATTTCCTTTATTTGGAATCTAATCACTGGCTGCTCTTTAAATGCTAATTTTTAATAATGCTAAAAAAACTATGGAAATCTTTTTACCAAGAGATATTTAATATTTTTAATATGCTCATGTTTTCAGAGTGTTTTTTTAATCAGGTCTTCACAAGTAAAGAATCGAAATTTGTAAATAATGTTTCTCTTGAAATTAACAGTGTCGCACACTGTGGCTCCCCCTCCCCTCTCTACTTTCTCTTTTTGGTCCCTTTTTCTGTTTCCCTTCAGCCTCTGAGCCCCTGTCTGCAGGTCCTCAAGGTGGGCTCCTGGCCCTCTGTTCATTACCTCCTTATCTTGGTAGAAAGGACACAAAACCAGAAGTCAGAAGCCAAAGTCCTGCTCCCAGCTGTACTGCAGATATGGGACCTGGGACCGGCCTCAGCTGTGGCGCCCCAGTGTCCTCAAATGCAAAATGGAGACAGCATCCCCTCCACTGAATATCCTCTGTCGTGTAATAGTTTCTGGTTTAAACTCTAATTTGTAATTTTAACAATTTCCCCATCTCTATCGTTCTCACTTTTCTTTGCCGAGTTTGCCGAGTCTGGATTGTCTTTACTTCTTTCCTTTACCCTCTTCCTCTACATTCCGTCTGGCCGCGGTCTCACCCGTAGCTTGTCCACAAGGCCAGACCAGAATCCAACCTTCCTGCCTCGCGGAGCCCCATCCAGTGGGGTTTTGTTCCCTGCCCCTCCTGCCTCTTCTCTGCAGCTCCCTGCTAAGCCAGTGTGAGACTGGTGGGTTTCTGATGCCCTTTTCCTCATGCTTTTTTCCCAGTCAAGAACTTGTAGCGCTTGGGGCTCTGGCTGACCTCACCACACCCCTGGGCACCCTTTCCTATGTACTGACCTACCACACTGGTGCCCAGGCCCCAAGGGCTGACCTAAGCAGGCCTCCTTACCACATGGCATGGACTCCTCTGGGGGGTAACATGTGTTTACTGGAGCTCATCTAATCGGTCTATAAGTTTCTTTCTTTTTTTTTTTTTCAGAGACAGAGTCTCACTCTGTCACCCTTGGTAGAGGCCTGTGGCGTCACAGCTCATAGCAACCTCCAGCTCTTGGGCTTAGGCAATCTCTTGCCTCAGCCTCCTGAATAGCTGGGACTACAGGTGCCCGCCACAATGCCCAGCTATTTTTTGTTGCAGTTTGGCCGGGGCCGGGTTCGAACCCTCCACCTTCCATATATGGGGCTGGCGCCCTACTCACTGAGCCACAGGTGTTGCCCTGGTCTATAAGTTTCTTAAAACACAAATCTCATCTTTCACTCTTGGCCCCCAACTCAAAAAGTATTCCTTATAATGCTATATACACTAAAAGCGCTTAATAAATGCTTACTAAATGGCAGAACAAATAAATAACTTGATTTGGTATAAAAGTCTAAAACATTTTATTAAATGCCGGGAGTTAAATTTGTTTAAATTCCGGGAGTTAAAATTTAAATGTAAGATATGCCTATATTTTGTGTTCAAAGGCAATCGAGGAATTTCATCCTAATTTTGACCCACTCATCAATAATAATTGGATCAGCAGGTTTCGGGCACAAAGACAGTTTCAACAAGCAGCACGCAAGGTAAGTCTCAGCACTAGATTGAAATTTTGATTTATTTATCAGCATGAAGAAATCAAGCAATGGGTTTTTTTTATAACATCTTTATTAAGATGCAATTCACAGGCCATAAAATTCACCCTTGTAAAATGCACAATTTACTAGTTGTTAGTATATTCAGAATTGGGCAGCCATCATCGCTGTCTAATTTTAGAACATTTTTATCACCTCGGAAAGAAACTCAGGACCATTAGCAGGCACCCCGTCCCTCCCCCAGCCCCTGGGGGAGGCAATAACTAATCTTTCTGTCTCTATGGGTTTGCCTGTTCTGGACATTTTATATAAATGGAGTCATACAATAAGTGGTTTTTAAAAACTTGGTTAATTTTTAAATTTATAATTAACACATAATAATTATACATATTTATGGAGCCCAGTGTATAATGCTCCAATCAGGATAATTACCATATCCATCACTTTAAGTGTTGGGTTAGGCGGGGTGGCAGGTGCCTGTAGAACCAGCTACTCTAGAGGGGAAGGATCACTTCAGTCCAGGAATTCTGCTCTGTAGTGTGCTGTATCGATCAGGTGTCTGTGCTATGTTCAACATCAGTATGATGACCTCCCAGAATCAGGGGGCCACTAGGTTGCCTAGGGAGGGGTAAGTTGGCCCAGGTCTGAAGCAGACCCGGCTCAGAACTCCCATGCTGATCAGTAATGGGATTGTGCCTGTGAACAGCCACTGCACTCTAGCCTGGGCAACATAGCCAGACCAGGTCTCTAAAAAAACTAAAAATTAAAAAAAAATTCAATATGTGGCCTTTTGTAACTGGCTTCTCTCACTTAACTTATTTTCAAGTTTTGGCTCAGCGCCCACAGCACCATAGTTATGGCGCCAGCCACATACACTGAGGCTGGTGGGTTTGAACCTGGCCTGGGCTGGCTAAACAACAATGACAACCGCAACAAAAAATAGCCCAGCATTGTGGCAGGCACCTGCAGTCCCAGCTAGTTGGGAGGCTGAGGCAGGAGAATCACTCAAGCCCAAGGTCGCTGTGAGCTATGACACCACAGCACTCTACTGATGGTGACACAGTGAGACTCTGTCTCAAAAAAAAAAAAATTTCAAGATTTTTTTTTGCCATTTTTTTTTCTTTTTTATTAAATGGTAACTATGTACATTAATGCACTTCTGGGGTACAGTGTGGGGTTTTCACACACAATCCGAAACACTTCCACCAAACTGGTTAACATAGCCTTCATGCCATTTTCTTAGTTATTATTTTAAAACGTTCACATTTTGCTCTTAGAAAGATTCACTTGTACCCTTGTAAGATAAACCTCAGAAGTGAAAAATTTCAAGTTTTAACAATGTTTTAGAATGTATCAGTGCTTCATTCCTTTTTATGGCTGAATAGTAGTCTTGAATAGATGACTTTTTCTTTATTCCTCAGTTGATGGATGTTTTACTTGTTTTCACCTGGCTATTACAAGTAATGCCGCTGTGAACATTTGTGTACAAGTTTGTGGACATGTGTTTTCAGTTCTCTTGGGTATATATACCTAGGAGTGGAATTGTTCTCTAGAGCAATGGGATATTGATCAGTTACCTCTAGAGAGAATAATTGTGAATTCTTGGAAGGTGTTTTATTTGACATCCAAGCTCATGGTTTGCCCTCAAAGGTGTCATCTCTCTGCCCTAACTTCCTCCTCCTCACGCTGCTGTCCCACAGAGCACACGTCTAGCCTCCAGCATCCTCCTGTTGTCAAGATAAAATGAAGACTTCTGAGCCTCTAATGTCAACAGGGGTGTAAGGAAACACCCGGTCCAGCTGTAGCCACACATCTCCAGCTTCCTACTGTCCTCCACATTGTCCCAGTCCTGGTCTTCCTCCAAACACAGCATTCTTGTTCCCAGACTCCAAGACCCTGTAGAGCCAGTGTCCCTGGTGAGGCTTTGCCTGGGGGGTCTCTGCATATGTGCAGGATAGGGGCAACCACAAGATGCTGGGCGTGAGGAAGAAGGCAATAGAAGGAGGCAGCACAAAGCTGTGCTCTGAGGGAGGACGGCGTCACCGTTGATAATGGCAAGAGACTGGCCAGGCTGGCCTGCCACCAGTGAGGCCACCTTAGCCCCTCTGCAGCAAGCCCTCCAGCTGGAAAAGAGGGATGTCAGCAGCAGTGATGTGTTTTATTCTGAACGATGGCTCAGGTCTTCTTTATGCTCCACAGCATGTACTGTGAGTGCTGTGTGCCAGTATGTCCCCACCCAGGTGACTTCTGCTGTCTCCCCAGCTACAGCCATAGCTCAGACACCCAGCATCTCTTGCCTGGACCACTGCCACAGGTGTCCCTGCTTCTAGTCCCAGCACAGCAGCCAGAGTAGCATCTGAAAAGCTTACAGATGGCAGATCACAGTACCTCCCTCCCTCACTGTTGCCAAAACCCTCCAAAGACTTCGTTTCACAATTAGAATTAAATGCACAATTTTGATCAAGGCTCCCAGGTCACGCTGGATTTTTCTGTCCCCTAAGCACGTCTCCTTTGTCAGCATCTTTGTGCTGTCTCCTCTGCTCAGAACTCTCTTGCTAAGATCTTTATATGAATATCATTGTCCCCTTGTCATTCAAGTCTTACCTCGGATCTCACCTCCCAGCAGCCTTCCCTCATTGTCCTTCCAGCCCTGCAGTTGTCCTGGAAGTTGCCCTCGTGCACTTGCCCCATTCCTCATTCTGTTTTTTCCATGGTGTTTGCCTTGTTTAGCGTGTAGGTGTTTATTGTCCCAACATCCAAGCTCCCCGTGCCTACACTTGGAGTGTGCGCTCTGTGCAGGGGGCGCGTTCATTTGCTTCTCACAGTATCCCCAGTGTCTCAGACGGAACTGAGCACAGAGTAGCTGCTTCGTGGTACTTGCAAAGGGAAAAAGTCCTACACAGAATAAAGTGGAAGGAGGTGCTCTGGGCACAAGAGCACTCACGGGCAGTAGCATCCGCTCTAACCACAAAGCTCGTGGTATGCATTGCCCATGATCCACAACCCTATTGCTACAGAATTGTCCATGTAGTTTATCCTTCAACTCTGAAAATAGCAAATCAAGTATATTTTGAAAAAAGGATGTAGTCATTTTTTCCACTCTTGAAACTATGAGAACATCAAGGCTCTTAAATTGGGTGAGAAAAGGCCAGAAAACAACCTGATCCTTTTCATATTCAGACAAGTCAACATTGCCCAGACCTTGAAGTGCCTGTGGCCTCAGTCTAGGGCAGTGTGCCATTCTCCCTGTGAATTAGACTTACAGTGATCATGTCAGCCCTTAGTTGCATTTGGGGAAAGTGAATTAGCTTGAATACCAAAATGAGCATGTATCAATTAATAATTTTACATCATTACACTCTCCAATTCCAGATCATAGTTCACCGACGATTACTCAAAATGCTGGCTGCTGTTCATAAAATGGACAGAAACCTTATAATGAAAAAGATCAGTCAAATAAAACAATTCTCAGAACAAGGTAAAGTATAGATGCCATGTATAGCAATGCCAAGAGTGGTCATTCCTGTGAGTGGGCAGTTTCTTTATAATGAACATAGATGTGTAGAAATAAAATATTTTCATGAATTGCACATCTTAGTTTCCTACTGCTACTGTAACAAATCACCACAAACTACATGACTTAAAACACAAATTTATTATGTCACCGATCTGGAGGTCAAGTGAGCTATGTTCCCAGGGCAAAGCCCACTTCATCACCTTTTCCAGCTTCTGAGGTCCACCTGCACTCCTGGGCTCCTGGCCCCTTCCTCACATCCCTCCTACCTATTGCTTCAGTCATAGGAAGGACTTTGAGCTTCCTGTCTGCCTCTTATGCAGACCCTCTGACTACATAGAACCCACCTGGATAACCCAGAATAATCTCCCCATCTCGAGATCCTTGACGTAATCACATCTACAAAGTTCCTTTTACTGTGGAAGATAACAGACTTGTAGGTTGCAGGGCATGGGACGTAGACATCTTCAGGCACCTTTACTCAGCCTATTATGTGACATGAAGCAAATGTCCATGCCAGGTTTAGCCAGAAGACCTGCCCAGTTGATAATAAAGAAAGTCAACTAGCCCTAGACATTGTGATGTTTGTCCATAGCTCGACCTCCTGTTTTATGCCCTCTGCTTCCTCTTGTCACCACAGAGGCTAGAATAGTCATCATTTATACCTGCTGTTTGGCCAAATTGGCTGTTTTCTCAGCCTAACATTGGCCCTTTAAGCTTTGAAATATCTTATCGTCTTTAGTGTTTAAAGAAATTCCAGGCTCGGCGCCTGTGGCTCAAGTGGCTAAGGCGCCAGCCACATACACCTAAGGTGGTGGGTTTGAATCCAGCCCAGGCCCACCAAACAACAATGATGGCTGCAACCAAAAAATAGCCAGGCGTTGTGGCGGGCACCTGTGGTCCTAGCTACTTGGGAGGCGGAGGCAGGAGACTCGCTTGAGCCCAGGAGTTGGAGGTTGCTGTGAGCTGTGATGCCATGGTACTCTACCCAGGGGGATAGCTTGAGGCTCTGTCTCAAAAAATAAAAAGGAAATTCCAATTCTCTGATGCTCAGGTTGGCTGGGGCTGTTGGAGACCCACTCTCAGTGGCTTCTGAGAGCCCCAAAACTGTATCATCCTCTTCTCACTATATATATAATGTATACACACACATAAATACATCTTCTCACTAAATATATACATTATGTGTATACATATATATACATAAATATATATGTATATTTTTTCAATCTAAAGCTCAAGTGCAGACCAAAAGCAGGACCTGATCCTCTGGGCACTTCCTCCTGGCCTGGCCTGAGCCCTCAAGCCTGGCATGGGCTCCCTCCTGCTCCCCGACAGCAATCACACTCTCCTCTACCTTTCCACTAAGATCCAGATGTGTACTTTATTTTTGAAAACATTATATAGCATTTTAATGATTTTTTCCTCCTATATTATTTTTATTTCTGGTATTGAAGTTTCTCATAAAGAAACTCTTCCTTACAAAAACAATTGTAAAATTTACCTATGGATTATGTGTGAATATCTGTAAAAGGTCATCACATACTCCCTCAACTTTACCTTTTTCTTTGCTGAATTCATCCAAGATATTTCAATTAGGAAATACAGGTTTTTTGGAAGTAGAAATGAAGCAAAATTTTCAAAAATTTGAGAAGAGGTTGAGGTAAGGATCAATGGGAACACAAAACATAGAAATACCTACATATAATGGCATGTGGCAGACCCCCACTACTTGGTGGATGGCAAATCCATAACTGTAGATGATGGTTTCCCATAAAAATACCCGGGGAACCCCCTAAAAGTCTAGTTTTGCTTTTTTACCCACAGAGATGCGTTCCTCTAAACTCCTGCTACCGGAGCCCAGTCAGGATGACTGTTGCAACCGGTTCTTCGTGTCATCCAAGAACGTGCTGCCATTTGCTTTCCCATCCCACAGCTCTCTTCAGGGTGCCAATGACTTGGTAGGTGCTGTCAGGCTGGGAGGCAGGAGGTGGGCACCATTCCCATCTATTAAGAAAAGAATAAATACTGTATCTCATCAATTCTAAGATGTGGGGTTTACACTTAACGTCCTTGAAATTGAGAAAGGCCTTATAAATGGTGGTATATTAACATTTCATTTTATCAGTTTAACGATGGTGTATGAGATTAGATGAAGTATGGTATTTACTGAGTGCCTATCATATGCCGGGCACCATTCCAGGTTCTCAGAATATCTGAGGCAGATGCACATGCGGGGGATTCTAGGTCGTGCTTTGGGGATTAGCACCTATGGAAGGCAAGCAGAGAGGGTAGGACTGCACAGGGAGAGAAGCAGGATTTCAGTCCATCTCAACAAAAGCCTCCAGTGGGCAAATGAGGAGCTCTGAAGCCAGCATGGGTAGATGGACACAGCATTTGTACCTTGGCTTCTATTTGTCATTGGAGGGACACGTGACCTGGATTGTGGCAGCTTCCTTCAGCCAAGACAACTCCTCAGAAGGGCTGACCCTGAGAGTTGTTTCTATTGAAAAGACGCCTAGGACATGGAGGACTAAATCATTTAGGCCTGAAAAGGAGTGTGGGTGACACATTACAGCCTCCATGACAGAATGAAAAAAAAAA